ATTCAAAATTAGTTCAAAATATGGCCTCGTGACTATAAAGGCGTTCCTTTCCAGTAGAAAATTTCCACTCTAAATGAAAGGAAACAAAATTTGTTGATTTAAACAGGAAGTTAAGATGGCTTTGGTGCTATAATACAGCGTTGGTGGTGGCAAAAGTATAATAAAACTTTTTTTTCATTTGGCCAAAAAAAAATTAAAGCGTAAAATTTGCAACTCAAAAGTGTTAACGTAGCTATGAGTATTTTCAGGAAATTAATTTAAAATGATTTTCATCGATGCATGCTAACATGTTAGATTCTAAGCTGAACTTGATTCTTTGGTTAGTTTCATTAAATTTTATGGCGAAAACCGCCAATTAAAAAATTGGTGTGCGGTGCATTTGAAGGTGATGGAAGTGAGAATTGAATTTATTAAAAAGATTCTCGAAAACCATTTTCAATCTTACTTATCCACACTTCTTCCGTTCGAAAGCGACTTTGTTGCGTATTTGGTTCTTTTTGCCAATAAAATGAATTGTCTTAATTGATATTTGAGTTGAGTATGTTTGGCCCTTTGAGCAGATGTATTGAAAGGCAGATTCGTTGTTCTGTTCAAGCATTAGTGGTTAAACTTGCACATGCAACTGACATAAAAACAAACGAATGTGTTAAATATGCTGAGCCTGCGGCCTGGGCGTTTCTCATACAAGAATCGTTAAAGCTGGCAAATTAGAGCAAAGTGTTTTTGTGTGTATGCAAAAGAAGAAGAACAAAAAAAAACCCATGAACCGTACACCTCCTATGAAAGAAGAAAAATTATTGCATGTGCTCCGCACGGCGCCAAACTACTTTTTTGCAGAAGGCAAATATGTAGCCATAATCGCTTTTCATTCATTCAATTAAGCTTTTGATCGTTCCGCACAATTTGGCTAACAAGTGATTTTTCGGCCAGTGCGCACAAAGCATAAAAAAATCCCCTGAAACAAACATTCAGTAGCCAAAAGAAGAAATGCTACCTTCGAAGAAAAAAAAACGAGATCCTTAGAGCATAAACAGCCAACTAACCTGATATTTTGCTTATTGGCTACCGAATTTAACGGCGTAATTTCGATTTTTTTTGCGCTCTCCATCATAACCCATTGATTATGGTGATCATAAAACAGAACACATCTGTAGCAACTATGCTGGTTTTTGCGCAAATCGATTCTCATTGAAGTGATTATCACTTGGCACATCGTTTCATTCAATTTTTGTATGAGAAGAGGCAATCCGTTTTTTTCGGAGGTTTTGAAACAAAAAAATTAAAATGCAATAATGAATTTATCGTTTTTAAATATATGGAATTGGGTTCCAATAATAATAAGAATTTAAGTTTTATGATTTTTGTTTTTTAAACACATAAAAATCTCGAATGAAACACATTAAATCTGCCCGTAACTTCAAACCGTAACATGAAGAGAAAAAGTTTACGTGCAACCACATTTGAATAAGTGGCGCTTTCAAATTATTCCATTATTGTGCGTTCTTTCAATCAATATAAAATGTTCAATTCGATTTTTTCGTGTATTCAACTTTGAAGAGGCAGATTGATACTTTTTTTCTCTTAAAATATGCATATGACTATAAAGTTGTGTCTTAAACGGCGCATATTCATAAGCATTTCACCGGTCGACGCATTCACATAAATTAAATTACAACGGCCATAAAAAGTGAATATAATTTTTTTTCTCCTCTTTTTTGATTTTTTGAAAAAATAGTCTTAAATCCAAGCTGTAAACAGATAAAAATCCTATCAAAATTCGTATAATAAACCAATAAATAATAATTCTTTATACATGAAATATAATATGGGTTTCAAGAAGAGCATAAAAACACGACTGAATTTATCAAAAAGGAATAAAATGTGCTCCCTGCTCCACAAACAAAAGAAAACATGATGGTCGCATTAAATTAATTCAAGATTCACAGCAACACAACAGAAGAACAAAAAAATGACCAACAAAATATGCTTTTGTACAGAAAATAGGAGAAAATGGTGAACAATGATATGGACACATTTCGATAGATTTAATAAATTCATTGGTTTTTAAGAAACACAAAATGTGTTTGATTTTTTATTGGCCTGAATTATTACAATGAATGGATGGACACCAGGTTGATTCAATGGAACTCTATTGACTATTTTAAGAATAAAAGCCCTCATGAAGTCTCGGGGTGAAAAACGTTCTACTTGTTTTTTTTTCTTCATCACAGAACAATGCCATTTTGGAAAAATAGAACATTTGGTAGCAGTTTTGATAATAAATAGGCTAGGTATAGGTTTACCTTTTTTTGGCCTGCCACAATTTGATCAATTATTACTGTGCAGTGGCTGTTGTAAATTTTGAATTATTGACATTTACGATTGCACAAACAAATTAGACCCCGAAATCGTTTTCACGAAATGAAACAAATTTTCGAAAAATTAATCAGGTTCCCTCATGAGATCGTCGAATGGAATTTTTGCTATTAAATTGTTATTACTGGCGAGCAATCAATGGTGTGTATGCTGTCATTTGGTCGTTATTCAAATTTGGCTTTGGATATCGCACAAAGCAATTTAAAAGGTATCCTCGCGATCTCTCTCTGTCACGCTCTCTCTCTTCCGAAAAAAAAAAAAAAAACAAATGCTGCTTAATGACTAATGGATATATGATACAGTTTACGTTTGTGTACGATTTTATTTATTTGATTTGCCTTAGGTCATCCAGCTTACTCCATTTATATGCGTTTTGAGAAAAGTGCAGAAAATAACCGTATAAATAAACCAATCTGGAAGGAGAACGAACCAGAAAAAAAAAACGACAACAAAACACACGAAATAATTTTACATTTTGTATTAATGGCGAACAACCTGGTCTATGAGCAACATGATTACTTTTAAAGAACACCCGCTGTGCTTCTGAATTGAATATACGGCTGCAGGCTAAGAACAAACGAAAAAACATCGTTCATCTCGCGCAGTGGAATTGTATTTTGTAAATCTCATGCGGCTAGTGATAATAATTTCTTAGTCACTTTCGTCGTTTGGAGCCGTGAAATGATTTCGGGACTATGCGCTTGGGCTCATACTCGGGCGCGCGCGCACTCAATTTTACACAGATAAAGACACGCACATTTACTACTCACGAAAAATAGCGCTGCTGAAATGAATGGACTTTTTGGTGCATGCGCTCTCAGCTTAAAATGCATCATTTAAATATGAAATAATTCTTCAAAATCATTAAAAAAACGCAAGCGTACACAAAATGAACCACGAAATCGAAATGTTGACCGTCTTCATCAATGTGGTGTGTGTGTGTGTGTGATTTTTTTCAATTCCAAAAGATTCATTCTTGAGTCGTTGCTTTATTTCGGGCTTCTGGCTCTCACAAATTTTTCATTGATAATAAACAATTCCGGAGATATGCGATATATTTTCTGCAGAGCATATTAAAAACGGTTATGGATCATAAATTAAGCGAGAGAGTGAGAGGCCACGCATCAAATAGTCGGTTAACTTATAGTTGTGCATCCCCATTTTAATAACTTCCATGTGGCCACTGTTTAATAATAGCATTCAATTTTTTGCACAACCAAAGCATGTGAATAATCATATGGAAATTTGTTCATTTTTTTCGTTCGTTGAAGAAGATTAAATGGATTTGATGCATTTTAAATCCGTCCACACCAAATAACATCATATATTCATGGTCAGTTGTGATTTATTCGTGGCGAATCATCGACCGGTGCACGAACTAAGAAAATTGATCATTCTCAAGCATAGAGCATGGTCTAATGAATGCAGACATTTGTGAAAACGGAATTATTTTTATCGAATAATCTTGGAGACTTTGTGCTGTGTGTGTGTGCCACTTGAGGAATTCCAAAGTAGAAAATGAAAATCATTAAATACAAAAAAATCGTCAGTTTTAAATTGCTTTTCTCGGATTTGTGCTGCATGGTGTCGGTTAGAAATTCGGATGATTTTTCGGTATTCCCGTGACAGGCAACATGTGTTTTGTGCGCGCACTTATCGATGCACACACACACAATGTGCAAATGATTTTATAAATTCGGAAAAAGTATTTATGATATATGATAATGTATTGGCTTCTTCTTTTTTTTCAGGATCTTCAAGCAGTCTAGGGAAGAAATACGTTTGACTTCTCATAAATCGAAATCATTTGCCGACCATAGCAAAAATGTGCACACGGACACATCGTTTTTCATTTCCAATCGATTAATCATCGTCAGCATACTGTTGGTTTTTTGATTAACAAAATCCTCATCCAGAAAAATCAATATTTTTCTCTTTCTGTGCACAAGAAACAAAGCAAAAAATGTTTATGGATTCCAAATGAAAATAACCATTTCATGGTTCGAACTAAAACAGCATCAAGACCAAATTGCTTTAGCTACCGAACAGACATTCCTAATGAATGTGTTGGACATCGTGCAATTTGGGATGAGATGTTTTACTCTTTGCAACCCTGACCCGAAACATTATTAATGATTCGTTTGTTTCAGCGAAAAGAAGAAAAAAAACAGATTCCAAAATATCATTGCGATCTTCAGGAATGTAATTCAATTCCTGGTTTCCTTTATTAAATTTATAATTGCGTATTCCAAAAAAAAACAGCTTCTTCATCGACATCGAATGACTTATAATTTATTTACGAAATGAAATTCCCAATTGGAAGGTGTGTGATATTCGATTTTTTTAAAATGCAAACGCCATATAATACCACAGCAGTCAGTTTGTTGGGACCGGATTAATGTCATAAAAAAGGATTGATCATTGTATAACAGTTGGATAGCTCTCTAAATTGGCATAAAATACATTTTTTTACCAGAAAATATTTTAATTTTTAATACAAAACCACAAAGACCTCTAACAAATTGTTACTAACAATTTTGTATTTAACTTGTTCGCCTGGGAATCGATCGCCAATTTTACACCACACATCGCCTTTTTTCACAATAACAATAATAAAAAATTGATTATGATTGGTTATGCAAAATACAGTTTATTAAAGAAATTGGCTCAGTGAAATCAATAACATCTATATAAAATGATTTTCTCACGTAAATAAATCATCGTTTTTTTTACATGTGTCGTCTCGGTTGTTTGAATAGCAAAGCGTTTTGCGGTTAGTAAAGTTTGAATAATCCTGAAATTGTTCTCATAGTGTATCGTCTCGTTTGGGATTTATATCAATCTGAAAATGGACGGAAATTATCATTCTTTTCTGCTTACATAAAAAAAATATTAAAACTGAATCATTTTTTATTTCGTATTTTCTCTCTCGCGAGCAAATGCCACCACAAAAAACCACAAAGTAATAGATTTCTTAAAAAAGCCACAATTTGTTGGGCGATTAGCGTGTTTTTATTTTGTTTGCATTGAACTAACGATGATATGTGCTGGAAAATATGGGCGACTCGCACATTAAAGCGTAAGGAATCTCATCGCGCTGACTGAATTTCACTGGAAATCTTCGAAAGTGAGAGAGAGAGAGAGAGAGAGAGAGAGAGAGAGAGAGAGAGAGAAGCAGAGACAATCTACATAGTTAAGTACCATTTCATGTACTTATTCTCTATTTGAATTCTGAATGTGGCAATATCAAAAAAACACATCAGAAATAATAAATATCCATAAAAGAGTTATTGTGTGAACAAATATTTGAGGCATTCATGCATATTTTAATGTTAAACCCGATGATTACCGTTGAATCACTTCGAAGGAAACAAGTGGAATTATGATTTATGAACAAGCTTATATTTGTTGTCATTGCAACAGAGCATCAAACAAAATGCTGCTTTGTCTCTGAATTTCAAGTGAAAGATCATAAATGAACATAATAATAGCACAACAACAAAAAAAGACAACAAATTCTAATTCGTATACAAACACATTGCGTTGACTATATATGTATATATTGTACCTGAGTAGCGTTGGTGTTGTTCTTTGTTCGTCGTTTTATGATTTTTTATTGTATTTAATTATGAAAAATGATCGTCGCATGAGAAATGAAAAAAAAAAACGCTTGAGAAAACAAGTCATATGATGTAGAGTTATGTTCATAAATTTTTTTTCGGTTTTGTTTCGTTCTGTTGTGTGTGTGTCCCCATGCACCTCGTGTTTAGATTTATCAAAAGAGTTGTTGCATAAGTGTTTTTTGTGTCGTTTCATTGTGTTCAAATAAATTGTCAATCATTGGACATGACCCCCAGTGTTACACCTGAATGCAAGAGAGAAATAAAAAAATAGAGTGTAAATGTGTGATATCGGACAGCAGACAATGACATTGAATATTATTCATATCGATGGTTCGAAGGTAACAATCGACAAAATATCAACATGTCATCAATTATTAGTTTTGAGTATCCCTGATCAGATTCCCTTTGTTAACGCAGCAAACCATTCAAATTCCAATTCAAAAACATCGATTTCGATTTTAAAGTGGAACGTTGCGGTCGTCTCTTATTTTATCTATTTTCGATTTAAGGTGAACAGAAATTGTTGGTACTTTTGTCCTTTTATTCATCACCCATTGACCCGAACGCTCACAAGAGAATTCAATAAATGAATTGAATTGAATCAAACCGTCATCGATTCAAGCCTGATCATAAAAGTCAGTAATTGTATAAACGATGAATTTATGATGTTTCGTTTATGAAATAAATGGTGAATAAAAAAAAATCATAAATTTCGGAATTTGTCTACCTCGTTGTAGTTAGATCGATTTCTTGCTCTATGGAATCGGTGCGGATAGAAAGGGGCTCATTGTTTGTGATGGTGTTCATTTTTCTTTTGATTTTTTTTTCACATCACATAAAAATTGCTAAAAAATGGAACTGCGCACAGTGCACAATTGATTGTTGTGTGTCTTTTCAGTTGATGAGATATCATTAGTGTGAAGCGAATTTGACTTTATGACGTTCTTTTTTCCCTTTTTGTGATCGAATTTCATTCATACTTTGTGAAATGTGAATGAAAAATTCACATCAAAGCAAAAATTTTATCAATGACTTTTTTTTTCACAACAAACCTTTTTTTCACGGCAAACATTTTTACGGGAAAAATAGTCATTAGTGCTTTATTCACGCTTTTTTTAATCAAATTAATCATCGAAACGATTAGTCATTTGAATGAATTAAAAATTAATGATCACCAAAAATTCAAGAAAATATCAAAAAATGTGAGTTTTCTAAAAAAAAAATGTTGTAAAATCTTTGAAGTCCTGCCTTTGAGCAGTGATTTTTTTTATGAATCAAAATGCAGACTTTCCATTCAATCAAATTGCTATTTTTCATTCATTCATCAATTTCTGGTTCAAAAGTCGATTAAAATAACTTCATTTTTTCGCCTTTGCATTGTGTGCGCTGCACCATTAACCAACCTCTTCATCATTCAAACTCACGCAACGAAATTGAAATTGATACGTTGGAATCTGATACACATTAAAAAAAGAGATACAAGTTGACTTTTTCACTTATCAGTCATCCAAATAGACGTTGTCTAACGCTTGGTCAGTTAGATGTAATCGAATGCGCGCGCACTTGTATGTGTGTGTGTGTGTCTAAATGTGAAATGTATCTTGTTGCATTTGGGTGGGCATTTTCTTTGGATTGTTTGGTGTTGGTCCGATTTCAGTGTCTGTCAACATTTTCTTCAGGATGCAATAAATTTGTAGTCAGGCAACATATGATGTTTTCACCTTAAAGACAAACACACACACACAAACACAAAGAGAGACAAATATTTGAAACAAATAAAACAGCATCCCATTGCCAATATAGCACTTAAATATTACCGAGTGCGGTGACACACAAGAACATAAAGCGAAAGAATAACATTTTAAACCACAATTTTATATATATTTATATAAAATGCTGCATAAAACGAGAGAGAGAGAGAGAGAGAGCGTGAAAGGGGAGGGAAAGAGAGAAAGACACGTACTAAACGATAAAACAATGGGAATGAAAGATGAAACAAATGCAGAAACAAATAAATCAATTTGAAAAACATTTTAATCGAAATGCATTACGCATTTATTTGTCACCGCATCGGTCCGTGATTACCATATGCGACCAAATCAACTGATAACATTCTTAAAAAAAGATTTCCGAGGTGTCAGCAATTAATTTTCAATAATGTAATTAATGTGTGCCTCATCATGCCGCAACAGATAATCTCTTTCGAAATTCCATTTTGGACCTTTTTTTCCATTTGGTTTGTCAACAAGCGGAGAGAAAATATATTCGATATATTCAAAGTTCAGGCTTGGTACAATGACAGGACAACGGCAGTCGATTCCAAATGCATAAAATATTCTGCGCATTTGATTGCAAATATATTCACTGAGTTCGAAGCAACGATTTTTATTATCAACAAAAATATTAATTCAATTCGCTTAATATCAACGCACACTTATTATCATTGTCGCTTTTTCCAATTCTTTTTATTTTTAAGTCACAGGTAGGCATCGAAAGACTGAAGAACTATAAGCTAACAAGGAAGTTATCACTATCATCCATCCACTGTGGCCACGATAATTTGTTAAATGGTAATTGATGTCTTAGTTTAGAATTCACACGATGAATGTAATTAATGCATTCGGGTCTGAATATATTCGAATATGTTGCCGCCTGTAGTGTGAGGCAATCAGGTGATAACGAAAGTTACAGAATTTCCTTCTTTTTTCATCATTTTCGATGAGGAGAAAAATTGCTTGAATTTCACCTTTACTGTTTCAAAAGTGCGTATCAAGAAAAAAAGACGTGAAAAAAGTATATTCAACGGTTATAAAGACATTTTTTCCTTCGGTGATGATACTTATCTGTCATCTGCTTTTTTTTTGTTTCAATTCAAACAACAAAGAGCGTAGCGAGAGAGAGAAGAAGACAGAGGTAGAGAAAGAGCCAACCAGGGAATACCGCAGTTCAATATCGTCAGTAGAGTACACACGAGCGCCCATCCATGTAAAATGTTTTGGGTTTGAGAAAAGCGAACGACGTGGAAAAAAGTGAAGGTATGTGCGATGGTATTAATTTTATAGATGTATAACACAAATTTCAAAAGATCAATTTTACTGATATCGATACATTTCGAGGGCACGTCTTCTTCGGTGTGTGTTTTTTTTTTGCTTCTCGCACATGCACTCACTGTGTGCGCGATAAATTATAGCAAGACGATAGATGCACATATACACGGTGCCGAAGAGAAAATGAGAAATAAAATCGACGAGAGCCAAAGAAAGAGTCAAAAGAAACTCTGAAACAACCACACGATAACACTCAAATCGGTTTTTTTTCGTCTCTCTCGCTTCTCTTAATTTTAAGTGCATGCACATCATTTTTTCTCTCGTCTTTTTTTTCGTTATGTACGATTGTTTGGTGTGTTTTTTTCTTCATCAACTGGTGGCCCATCATCAGTGTGAAATAAAAAACCCCAGAACAGACTATCGGTTCGAACATTTTTTTTTACGAATGGTCGTAAATTTAGTTAGTGGGTGACAAAAATGTCTCAACAATGTGTCGCCTACTGATAACGAGTGTGTGTGATAGATTCAAAGACTTTAAAACAAAAAAAAACCAATTCATAGTATAAGGTGAACGACGGACAAACACCAAGAACAAGATCGAAATGCATACAGATCGCACTTGGGCATCGCATAGAAGCCGAAAGTGCGTTTTTTTCGTCTACATTGATGTCTACATTTAATAATCATAAAAGTGATTCCATCGAAATTGGAAATTGACCCATCCTATGCGGCTGCATCGTTTGCGTTGACCACAGTGATTGAAACAGAAGAAGTGTTCAATTTCATGAACGAAGAACAACGAAAACAACAACAAAAACAAAAAATGAAAGCTAATTGAGAGACAGTTTTCCAATGACAACAACAAAACAAAGGAACGCGATAAAAGTCCCATAAAAAAAAGAGCAAAGAACACACACACCAAAACAAACAGATATAAATTCTTAATTTTTATGCCTTTTCTTTGTGGGTGTCTTTGAGTCAATTTTTAAAACTGATAGAAAATTACGGATGGTGTCATTTCATTTTATCCACTATTAAATGTGTTAATAAATTTTGCTGGCCTTTCCTAGGTGGTAAAGTCTCACTAATCGATGCGATCGATCAATGCTCTGCGCCGTAAATATGTCTGCTTCCATATAGAAACACAAATCGACGCATACGCATTTGACGCTGTTGCTGGTTATTCTCTGTTGGTTTTTTTTTCGCACAAATCGGGTTTTTTAATGTGTTACCATCTCTTTTTTTTGCTTTAATTTCTTAACTCGCACATTCACACCTTTTAAAACCAGTTGAAAAATGCCCAACGAATTCACATATCGGGTTTTTTTGGTGTTCAATTGACATAGCATCACGTACACGAATCGTTATGGTTTGCTTGAACACAATTGAGCAACAAAGAAACGACAAATAATAGCAATATTTTGACTCTATTTTGTCCCACTGTCAATCACGATACATTTCAGTAGCGTGTTTAAATACCATTTCCATTTTTATCTTCATCGTAATAAATACCAAAATTCTCTGAGGAATCCCATTTGAAGACAGCGACAGCATTAGTCATCCGATGCAACGAATTGATAAATCGCATACATCTGTACGCTGTGAGATGCTGAATGCACACAAAAAACAAAAATATTTCACATGAGTGTCACTTGTCTCTTCTCGGTGAATTATGTGGTGCCATATTCAATGGAATTTTTCCCACTTGTATATCGTTGTGTAAGATTATAATAGCTGATACAGTACCTGCTTATGGACTTCATCGACTGAAAAATGTCACACGAAATTTCGTTCAAAATATAAATGGAGAGAGAGAGCGAAAAAAAAACGTTTCAATAGATGTGTGTATATCCTTCACTTGCTTTCAACCATTCACTTGCTCTTTTATTCCATTTTGGAAACATAATTGAGACACAACGCATCTCTAATGTTATGAATGAATGAATAAATGGTGTCAACAAACACATCACGGATTCAGCCAATTTCCATGTTTGTCACATTTTAATTTATGAATGTCTTTCACATTTGAATCGCTCGAATTTGCAACTTTACCCGTGATTACGATCTCGAAAACTATGTTTCACAACGAGAGAAATCCACAACACAAAAACAGCGTTAAACATTTTAAACCATTTGTTTGTAATTTAGATCTAACCGATAAAGGGAGACATTGCCGAAAAACCAACACAACTACAATTTGCACTGAATACGTTCCTCTCGGAAAGAGAAACTAAATATGTTTATGTTCACCTCTACTCTTTAACAGTATTTGTGCATGTGTGTGCGTTTGTTTATTTTGGAAAGGCTTGGTTAAACTGAATGGAAACTGTTACTATGCATACAATGTACGAATACAATACTACACATCTATACTGTACAGTACAAACCCCTTTATGTAGGTAGTTGAATTTTGGCAAAAATGCTGTTGTCAACGGGCTACCATTGTTCACTTATACGACACTCCATATAACCCTATAAATGGCAACATATTCGCAAAGCCATTCCGTTCATATTTTTGCACTGCACTGAACTCTTTCGGGTTAAGGGTTTTACCTGCTGTCGTTTGGAAAAAGTAAAGCAAAGAACCCGATAAAAGATGAATAGGAAAGGATTCGACACAAACAATACGGCAATGAGAAACCCATTCACATGACAATTGGATAGCAATTAAAGTGTTAAAAGTTTATGGACTCGATGTAAATCATTGTATTACATCCGACAACAACAAAAAAAAACCAATTCCAAAAATTGAAAGGCATAGAACCAAGCTCTGCAATTAGAGGAAAGCAAGAGTTAAACAAATCATAAAAGTTCGTTGTGCATGATGAAAATGTCATTTAATCCTTTTACTTTTTATGGATGACATCCATCGTAAAACAATTAAAATGAGCGATTCTTGTACTTTTTTCGCAAAAAAATGCCTGTGTACGTGCTTGGAAGCGGTCATTTCACTGTGTTGCACTGCGAATTTTTGCCCTTTGCTTTGGCCAAACACATTTTCCACATTGACACAGCGAGCTCAACAGTGAATTGTAATTGGATTCTGGCCATTTAGGAAAGGATTATGGAAATGAAAATTAGTTTTAACTCTCCATTCAATTTAATTGTCTCAATGAATTTAATCTTGTTTGCATTTTTAAAAGGGTTAATTTTCATTTCGAGTCTTTAATTGTAGTTCCGTTTCGACTCCAAGAAATTGTTATGCTATGTACTTCTCTTTCTCTTCTTTTTATTTAAAGGTTCCAAACCAAATCATAAAATTCAACTTATAATTTTCTTATTTTATTTTCCTACAAAAATGCCAAGTGTACACAGTTTTATTCGTTCTTATAAATACCTAATCACTTCGGACCTTTTGACGTCGCTTTTCTTCAAGTTCTCGCAGATTTTAATTATCGTGGATGTTTTCCTTTCTTCCCTCGAATTGCAAGTGGACCCTCAAAACCGCTCAAAAAGACCGGCTAATCGTCGTAATAAATTATCAATTAATTTTCGCACACAATTAGCTCCTTTATACATTTACCTATCGTCTCCGGTCTCTTTTACTCTCTTGACTTGGTCGTCGACTTCGTATTACTTTCTCGTTGCTAATTTCGTTAATTTATTTTACTTAATTGTTACTTTTTTGACTACGTTGTCGAACATTTGTTTCGTTAGTCCTCTCAACGATCTTATTGAGTCGTCCGTCGTACACCAAGTGCCTTGCTCACGTCTTTTGACGTTTCGATGTGTCACTTCACCTTTCCACTCGTTTCATTTATGCGTGTGACTCTCAACTGTTATACTTGGCAACTCTTCATATTTACTTTGACCTTTTAAACTATTCTACTCATTACATCTCTCATTTTTTTTTTTATTTTCAATTAAAATCCATAACAAAATGTTTCCAAGAAATTTGCGGATGAAGTTTGTTAATTTCATTGGAGAAAGGAACTTGTGTCTATATAGAATTGATGGCTGTTAGATTTACATAGTATACTAATGTGTGATTGATGCGTTACAGTCAAACTCTCTTCCACAAAACTCGTTAATATAATCATTTACGTTGGAAAACACATGTTGAGATGCAAGAGCATTGAGTTAAAACACAAGAACATTATCAATTGACCCATGTGTAAATGAAGGTCAACGACGAAACGATGAATCACAGTATGATTCAAAATGCGTGAAAAATCAAAATATGTGCGTCTCAAGGCTCACCATCCATTAAACGAGCTCTGGAAATTTATTTTCTGTAGTATTGGTCAAACGACCATTCGGGGAGCCAAAATGAAAGTCAATGCTTTGATTTTCTGTTTCATACGAAAAATGTGAAGCGATGGTGTGTACAAAACACATTTTGAACCTTGAATTTTCGAAAACGAAACAGTATTCATCAACATGTATGTTTCCAAAAAATTATTAAAAACTTTATGCATTTATTGCACATACATAAATGTGTTCACTACCGAATACTACGAACGACACTCTTCTATTTAGAAAAAAGATTCGAGAGGGAAAAAAACATGCAAAACGAAAGCATTTGAACGAGTAACATTTCACTCTTCTTTTGAAGCCTTCTTCATCTTACTCCTTCAGTTTCTCCTTTTCGGGCTCAAGAAAAAGTCACTTTTGAACCTTTCATACCAATCTAACGTACAATCATTCTCGTTGCAAACAATGAATGACATATACCTTAGTATATACATAAAATTACTTTATTGCACAAATTAATAAATAGTTTTATTTGGGCTAGTTGTATTCGCAAAATTGTAAATTTTCTCTCTCTTTACCTCTCTTCTCTTTCTTTTTCTTACTCTTTCTACTGCTCTATAGAAACAGCTCTGTCTGTTTCTCTCTATTGCGCTTCCCGCTTTCGTACATAGAAGAAAGACAAACAAGAAGCAATGTATGTTGGAAGGGACCAAAGACAATTCGGTGACAATAAACTTCTATAACTGGTAACTATATATTTGAGAAGGCCTTATAAATCTGTTCAAAGATGTACACTCATGCAAAATTATGAAAGAGAAATTGGAATGCTTTATTGCTTTATACAGTGATTCGTGACAAACCAAATAACAAAAAGAAAAACAAACAACTGTAACATTGCAGAAATGGTATGCCACTAGCAATGTTCGTTATTGTTATTGCACCATGTCCATGTACACATATGAGTCTCATTCCGTATGCTGAACAGACTCTCAATTTGAATACGAATGTAAAAATGTCAATCCATAAGCAGACAAGGCGCAATTTCCATCTGTGGCATCATGGTATTTTTCTCAGCTGATTCGTCATGGACATGCTCAAAATCAATACAACATGAATCTTCATATTTTATCATACAGAAATTACAAAAGATATTTCATGTATCATTGTATTCAATGAAGAAGTGCGTCTTCATCATTCAAAAGTTGTGAAAAATCAGACATTGAAAATTGACTGGTGCAAAGTCACCTGTACAACGATATTCTCTCGTTTACCTTTTTGTGAACATTTTTTTTCTTTTATTAAAATGACGTATCAGACGTACCGAAGCAAAAAAAAAACATTGTGATGAAGACGCAATTGGAAGAGGTGAAAAGGAAATGCGAAAAGCAAATTATATGGTTTACACAATTTCAAAATAAACGCTTCGAATCTCTCGGTTTGGTGGAACAATGGAATGCATCAGTGAAAAATGCCCTTCTCAATCAAGGATAAAACGAAAATCATTTAAATAAAGGCCTTTTATATGCGTTTGCCATAATCAATTATATGCAGCAGAGAAGAGAGCAGAAAAAAAACGCCACGCAAATCGCGATCGATATTGTACATCATGCTATGACAAACAAAAAAATAATCATGCGTTCGGTGCAATATTGGTGAATTTGGGGTGAAGAACAGGTTTATGCGAAACCATAACTTCCACATTCTTTTGCGTACGAATATTTCGATTAATGATTATTTGCCGAAATTTATTACGAAATGAGCAACACACAATAACGTGGGAGAAAAGAAACCGAAATATAATGGAATCGTTGGTGCATTTGGCCAGCCAACATTCTTATCAAAATAAATATATTATCGCACCGAACGCACACAGACACACACAGCAATAATGAACAGCAATCGATGGGTTCGATGCGTGGTATTTTCATCATTTTTTCGTTCTCGTATAATTTGATTTACAATTCACTAGACAGACGGAAGATGTGGCGGTTTCTCTTGAATTTGTTGTATTTAAATACAATTTTTAAAAATGCTTCATTTTACGTAAAATCGCAAAATCGACTGCATCAAAATGAAAAAGATACAGAATTTTATTAATTGCACTTATAAAATGGCCAGAGGGAGAATTCACATAATTAAAGCGCAATCAGACTGAAAATGTTACACCGAAAATGTTACGCATTTTTTTTGCTTCTTATCTCGGTTACGAACGCAATGAATCGATTTACTAAAAAAAAACGTTTCGAACTCGGCTTGATTCGTATCAAACTCGTTTTATTCGTTTCACATGTTCATTTAGTAAAAGTTATGGCAATAGCGCCAATTTGTCGAAAAGTGTGTCCAAATAGATAATTATTAAGCGAAACTTCCTCACCCGTTCGGGTTCACTCAATTCGACATTAGCTTAAACATACACTCATGAAGCCATGTTCTTGTGGCCAGAAAACGACAAAGATTTTACACAATTCATTCCGTCAAAATGAGCGAATGTGTGCGCGCGCGCTCGTTCGCGGTCCACAATAATAATGAGAAAAATGCATAGGCAAATAAAATGCAACGCGCACCGCATGCAAGGCCTAATAATAAAAGAGAGAATTTAGAAGTCAGTGCTTGCGAAATTGTGTCTACAGGCGTTTTTGTGCCTCGGTTGTGTTGTGTGCTTTTTTTTCGTTACTTCTTAAATGCACGTTGGCTTGCCTGAATTGTTTCTTTTTTTTATTGCAGGTCACAGGTCATAAATACAAGACTGCACATTTATTCCACGCTCTGGTCGCGCTTGCTGAATGTTTCACAAGAATTGTCTGTGTGCAAAGCGCACACTCAATGAAATCTCTTTTTTGTTGGTTTCGGTACAGAGATCGACCAATACAAGGTGCCCATTTAAGCCGATAGCAAAACACTGACAAACCAAACATTTTCACATTGTTTTCATTGTAGCGTATTGCAATGAGACACCCTATTCATTTTTATTACATTGCGGCATTAAAACTGCATTGTGTGCGCTGCTCTTTTTTTCATTTTTGTGCGGGTGTTCGATTTATGTTTGGTTAAATGAACGCGCTGTTTAAATCCGTGGGAAATGACGTGTGCCCGCAAGCGTGTGCCGACCAATAAGCATCACCAGTCAAGTAAAGTACAATGAAAAAAAAATGGAAAAAGTCACAAAGAAAAACAACAGCACACAATATACAAAAACAATGTGAACAAATCTTATAATTTAAACATATCAAAAATGTACTTGTGCTTTTCTGCCTTTGCAATATCGTTTTGGCGAATGTGGTTGTCTGTGTTCTTTTCTCTTGTTGTTCAGTGCATTTCACTTAATTTTCTTCTTTTGCTGAGTTCTTTTGTTGATGGAACATGTACTGTTTGAAATGAAAACTTGCTGCAACGACTGATTATTCATGTGTTTTTACAAGAATTTGGAATTTTAAAATTGTATTGGTTTTGCCGATGAATTGTCACAAAATGTCAATTTCAGTCCGTTCATCCGTGATATGAGTTCTAATTAATATTTTGTTTTCAACGAAAGATGGTATCTCATTGACGGAGTCCCTTAATTTGAGTATTCGATCGCTTGTTCTTGTCAATCGATGCAAAATCAATCGGCGACCCAAAATGTATCAACGATTGAAATAAACTTTGATATTCATCAATGTCAATATCGGCTGTTATACACGGTGCACATTCTACCTACAGCAATTCATTTTATCGCTGATTTTGAATGATGATCATTTTTATCCGAATTGACTGTTCTCATATATGAACTACGATTTATTAAAACGGAATTAAAAGATAGAGATCGCGTGTCGTTTTCATATGCAATTGTGACTACAAAACTCGAAGACGATTCGCAACATCGTCCGATATTATTGTTATTTTGCATGTTTTGTATGAGACATTGTTTCCGCTTGATAAAATTAAAAATATAAGGAAATTAAAACATTTCGATTCTCTCCCATAAATTTTAGAAAATGAAGAGAGGAAAAAATGAATCAAAACTTTGAACACACACCACGGCGAAAAAAAATATCCACCGACGAAATTAAGTTCTGTCTTTCAAAATGTTTACAATACACAATGAGCGGAAGGGAAAAAGAGTTCACAAGTTCATTCATTCAAGAAAGTGATTGCGAATTCGATGCGATTGAAAAAAAAAACACAGAGCACAACGGGAAAAAAACGAGTGAGCGAGAAGAATGTGCCGGTTCCTTTCAAGATTTGCCCCGTCTATACCATTCGAAGTTGGTCTTTTCGAGACACAAAACACTTGCTTTGCCGCCTCGATTTATTAATATCCATAACACTGAATATGTGCGTGCGTGCAAGCGCGCCCGCGCACCCATTCACTCGCTTGCATCCAAACGAACACACAAACTCAACAATAAACACTAGTACAATATACTTATCGTCTCCTTTTGTCTCTACGCGACCAAACAATTTTCTAGAGATGATTGTTTTGCTCGCTGTACCAGCGAGATGTGAACAATATCTGACAAAAACTATTATTCATCACTAATCTGTTGGAAAAGGAGTGCAATAAATTTACAGGTTTGTTTTATGGTCTACTTAAATATTGCTAATAAATATGAATTACGACAATGTTCGCGTTTGAGCTCCTTTTACTTACTCTTGGGCCATAGAATTTGATCGGCGCCAACATTAAAGT